CCCGGGGTCCACCGCGCAGCGGCAGGAACCGGCTTCTTGCCCATCTCGCTGCTGCGGGGCTTGGGCGTGAGGCCATTTTATGTAACGCGGTCAGCACGCGTACGTGTTGGCAGCGGTGCAGCCCCGCAGCCTCGAGAGCCCGCCGGCCGTGATTTGCTCCGTCCAGCTCTTGCAAATCCCGTCGGACCGGGGCTGGCAGGTGGGCTGCTCTCCGTGGTCGCATCGAGCCGGGCAGGTGTGTGCGGGGAGGGCGATGGTGCGGTTGGACGTGGCGGGATCCTGCCTCGACGTCCCCGCACGCTCTGGGACACAACACGTGTGCAAAAAGTGTGCTCGTCCCGCGTCACCGGGCAACGGAGGCGGTGACAGGAGCACCGCTGCTGTGTACCCTGCCTGCCACGTTCCTGCCTCTGGCCGAGGGAGCGAGGCTCGCCGTGTGCTTGGCCGCCCTGGGCCAAGCAAGAGCTGTGAAGTAGTCGGCAAAGGGTGTGGCTTAAGTGAAATGAAAGAAATACTCGTTTCCCTCCTCTTTGTTTTTCACGCTGTCCTTACTAGGCCCCGAGCTGGTTTCACAAATGGCACTGTCCGTATGGCTTAGGGTGCCTAAAACCTTTAAAAAATGGCGTCTGTGAAGGCAGATCATCAACATATAATCAAGCTCCTGTCTGGAGAGTAGGTAAATTGGTTGGAAAGCAGTATGTAAAGTTATGACTGACTCGGATCAAAGAAAAGGAAATCCTTGTCTCAGCTTGACTGCTTTGTGCAGATTCCCCACGTTTCCTGCGAGCTTGGGCCCCGGCCAGCGGTGGGACAGGGACAGGGACAGGGCGGTGGGACAGGGACAGGGCGGTGGGATGGGGACAGGGCGGTGGGACAGGCACTGGCAGAGAGATCCTCTGGCCATTCTGCAGTGCTCCCAGCAGTGTGGCAGTCTGCACGCATGGAGTTTGTAGGGTCAGCCTTGGTGTTTCCTCTCCCTTATAACAAGGAGGAAAAGGAAAACTCATGACAAGGGAAAGGGTTGTAAAATGCAGGGCTATGGTGTAGTTTCTGAAGCTAACTATAAATCCTGGGGTTTTTACTCACTGATGGCTGGGCTTTATTTGAGCTAGCAAGGGTTAGTTTTTTCTAGTTATTAAGGCATTTTTACAGGCTCTTTGTATGAAGGAAGACATTGTGATGGCAGGACATACAGGATGTAAGATTACAATACATGAATATAAAACCCAGATGTATATGCAGTATATAAGCCCTTATAAGCACAGGAATGGGTACAATTTGTTGACTCCCATTTCCATGTCATCGCAGATGTTACATATTCTAGGAGACAGATATATAACAAAAGTTTATAAATAGTTGGTCTTAAAGAGAACTGAAACTTCATTTGCCTGTGTACAGCAGGTGGCTGATGTTAGACATAGATACAGTAGTGGGAGAGTTAAAGGTGGGCAAAACAGATCACAGAGTTTCCATGTAACCCTTGAAAGCTTTTCTTGCTGTGTTGGCTTTACAAAAGAATGTACTTGAGGGAATGGAGACCAGGCTGTGTTCCATTGCTTTACAAAAGTGCAGGGTCCTGCGTTGTACTTCAGAGTGCTGTCAGCCCAGGCTGCTGTGTGGAGCTGGCTTTGCCTTTCAGTCTTTCATTGCAGAGAGCTCCTGCCAGGAGTAAGCATTATATAAACTCATCTGCTTTACCCATTGGCAGTAGGAGGAGAAAGGAAATGATGTGGAAGTTTAGCCTTTAATATAGCACAATTCTCAGAGGGGCCAAGGTCATTTGGTTTTTAAATGCAAGATAGTATGACCAGTTAGAGAAGACATAGTTGTTAGCTATGGATGTATTTTTATGTACTATTTATGATGGTAAACTTTTCAAGGCTATGGTTTCAAAGCATAGCAGCCACAAACACCAAACAGGCAAACTCACACCTGTAGGTGCACATGCAAACCCTACCATATAGTGAATATCAACTATTACTTTGAAATTGAGTTTTCACCTCTTTTATGCAAGGGGTTTGCTTTGGGCCCTGGCTTTTGGTTAGGGCAGTAGAGATTAGAAGCTGGTCTAATTTGAAGTTCTCAGTGCATTTTATTGTGTCAGAGCTGTCTGATATTCTAGTGTCTGGCCCAGCTGGAGGTATAGAACAGCTTTGAGTTAACACCACAAATGTTGGCCAGATGCAGTGGAGGAGCAGGTATAAAGTACTTCCACTGCAGGCGGGTAGGATCTGTCTCTGTCAAATGTATAGCAGCAGAGACCTCCTGGCTGGCTGGAGAGTTCTGGTCATTTTTTATGCCTTTTCTTAGACTTAACAATTGAATATAGTTAATACAAACTGGGTGATTTGTTTGGAATGTGTCAAAGAAAATAAATTATGTCTTAAGAGGGGGAGGAGAACATTTTTATGCCTTCCTCCTAGATTTCTGAAGTCCATTTAGAATAATACAGAAAAAGCTGTCTATGGAAAAAAATCAGAATGAGTGACAACTAAGATGTAATGGAAATGAGGTCGGTAAGTTGGTGTAATGACTGGTGCCCTGCTGCAGTATTGGCAGTAATACCTGCTCTCCCTGTTCTCCCCCTCTTCAGCTAATTTCTAGTTTTGGAACTGAGCACTAGCGAATACAAGTATAGGGAATGTAAAGTCATTACAAACCTTTTTTACAGAGGAAGAGGAAAAATAAATTATCTTTGTGGGTATTCTTCAAACTGTGAGGATCTTTGAAAGGAAGGGACGTTTCATGGCCAAACTATACAATCCTTATACTATGTAGACTTCCATGAAAACCAAGGAGGATTTGACCAGGGATTTAGTCTTGCAAAAATATATATAAATAAGTTAATTTCAAATTAGTAAGCCTGTTAGGTCTGTTGAAAATAATTTCTGGGTTCAGAGGCTGAAAAGGAACTGCTGGAGCCTCCTTCAGTTTAAAAAAAAAAAAAAAAAAGGCAGCTCAGTATATTTATTTCTCAGAACATATAAAATATATTTCCTTCTCTTTATAAAATAAAACCACTCCTCCAGCTGTGTATCTAATCAGTAAATATGGCAGCCCATGTGGCATGACTGATTAATATACCCCTCAGTCATAGGGAATAGCATGAAGCAAGGCAACATGCATTACTCAGCACTTGCCATCCTGCCAAAGCTCTGAGGCATTTTCTGTGATGGATTCTTGTTGCAGCCAGTGGGAGTTCTTAACGTTGCCTTATAAAGTTTTAAAAAAAAAAATACAACCCACACATGCACAAAAAGATTTCTCCAGTCTTGAGACTGATACTCTGCTTCACCCCAAAATTAAGTAATGCGTGCTTCCCCTTTGGTCTGCCTGGATCTTACCTTTACATGTGAGGGTAAAGGAATGTGACAGCCTCTCACCTCTTGACCTTTTCCCTCTTGCTGCTGCTAAAACCAGCTGTAAAGATAGTTTTTCTAATTCGGATGTTTAATAGCATACCTGATCCAGTGGTAACAACTTTCTGTGAGTATCAACCTTAGATAGATGCAAGTCAGTCCCCTTGGCAGCTGCTATGGCTTTGTTCTTTGCCTCTGTACATACATAAGCTCTTGCTCACTGAGATTCTGTGGCTGTATGCATCTGTGTGAATAATGAGGTACTAAGGACTTAGAACATTAAATCCTTTCTATGTTTTTTATTTTAAAAATCATTAACAAGAAAAATCTCTGTCCCCATAGTTGTGTAGGAGCAGCAAAATGTCATGATTACTACACCTGTTCCCAAGTCATTCTCATCTCCCTTTCCCCCTATTTTCCCTGCTACTCTTTCTTGTATACTTCAGACTTCTTTCATGTTCAGTAATTGGGCTAGATGCAAACTGCGGAGACTTTGAGCTTGATTTTTGCTGCCACAGGTTTCCTGGATCATCTGTGGCAGGTCAGTGAGGCCATGGATCTTCAGCAGATGTGTATGTATCTATGAAGTGAAAGGCTCTATATGCTGGGCTTTTTGTGCCTCCATTATCTGTATGCCAAAGGGTCACCTCAGGCAGGGACCACAGAAGATTGCAGGGTGATAATTTTATATGGTATCAATGGCTATAAGGATTTTAGACACAAAGGGTAAGGATATAGGTCAGGATGAAACTGTTAAGTATTAACCATGTGGATTTCTTTTTTAGGTGCGTTCCCTTCAAGCCACATTTGGAGAGTTTGAATCCATGATGAAAATTACTCAGCAGAAGCAGGAGGTTACCGAGAAGGCTGTTAAACAAGGGGAGAGTGAAATAAACCGGATCAGTGAAGTGCTTCAGAAGCTGCAAAATGAAATTTTGAAAGACTTATCTGATGGCATCCACATGGTGAAGGATGCAAGAGAACGAGACTTCACATCTCTGGAAAACACAGTGGAAGAGAGACTAACAGAGCTAACCAGGTCTATAAATGATAACATTGCTGTATTCACTGAAGTCCAGCAAAGGAGCCAAGATGAAATAAACAATATGAAAGCAAAGGTTGATTCACTAGGAGAAGCAAATGTGTATAAACATGAAATTAAGGTGCTAAAAGATGCTTTTGATGAGATGCAAGTTTCCATGAAAACCAAAGAAAAGGACATAGAGGCGTTGAAGAGTACAATAGACTCCATGGAGTCTGATGTGTATACTGAAGTGAAAGAGCTAGTCAACCTCAAACAAGAACATGAGAAATTCAAAGAGGCTGCAGACACTGAACACCTTTCACTAAAGGCTTTACAAGAGAAGGTTCTGAGAGCTGAGGATTCTATTATGCAGCTCCCTGGTGACATTAAAAGGCTCGATGAAGATTTACTACAAGTGAAAGCCAATCTTAACAAATGGGAAGAAAATGAACTCTTCAGAAAAGCATTGGAAACTTTTGGGAAGAACACTGAAGGACTAGAGTCTCGATTGAGGCACATAGAAGACACCCTGGAGTCTCTAACTTCTGTTGCTGCTCAAAACAGCGAAAAGTTGCAATCTTTCCTCTCTAAGGAGGAAGAATACAAGAATAAGCTCAGTACCCTAGAACAAAGCATTACCGTTCTTCAGGGAATCTCAGATACAGATGTAACCTCAGTCACGGATGTTTTGAAAAATCTTGGTGAATCACAGACCTCACTGTACAATGACTTGGAGAACTTGAGGAGAAGCATCAGTGACCTGCCATCCTCCGGTGCTCTTCAAGATATCCAGAAGCAAATTAGTACTTTGTTGGATCAAGGAAATCTTCAGATGAGTCAAGCACATTCTCAAGACTACCTTGAAAAATTTTCTTCTGTGGAGGGCTCAGTAGATGAGCTGAGATCTTCTGTCAGCCAGGTTGATTCCGATTTGAAAATGATTAGAACTGCAGTGGATAGTTTAGTCTCCTACTCAGTGAAAATTGAAAATAATGAGAACAACTTGGAGTCTGTGAAGAGCTCAATAGATGACCTGAGGAATGATCTGGAAAGGTTGTTTGTGAAAGTAGAAAAAATACATGAAAAAGTTTAGGCAGCAGTGCTCCTTGTGCAAGTATTGGGTTAGGGAGAATAGCTTTTGTATGCCCAGTTTTTTACTCTTTTTAAAAGCAATTTGATACCTCCAAAGAGAATAAGAATACTTTAATACAGACAGTTCTGCTTATATCCTTTATTTCTCTTTTGTGTAGTGTCTGTTGTTTTTTTGGGGTTTTTGTGTTTGTTTTTTTTCAATTCTGTTTAAGAAAACATGAGTTTTGTTGGGGGTTGAGTTTCTAAGGGCTCATCTTCTCTATAAAGCTGTATGGCTGTAACTGTAGTGGTGTAACTAAGGCACTACAGCCACGTTAGCATGGGCACATACTTAATGGCATGAAGGTGTTTCACACAATGACACTAGATATCTCACACAGAGGGGCTACAGCTGTCCTGGTACAAAAACCATGCTGCTGTATACACTGAGAATGTTACTGGTATGTTTTGGTTTAAGAAACAAATGAACAAAACTACACCCCTATCTTAAACTGTTCAGACCAGTAAACTTAAGTGTGTACCAGGTTTGAAGCAACTCATCTGTTTCTACAGTTTGGGACTCAGCCATGTAGTCAGTTTAGGAGGTGTCAGCTGACCTGTAGTGTATTTCTGTGAGTCTTTAATCTGTACCAAGAAGATAACAAGGGGATAACTGAACCCCCTGAAGGGAAGGTTTAAGGTAAGTGGCCACCGCTTGGTGCTAAGACTTATGTTCCACCATGTGGCTGAAAAGATTCATTCTTTGTGATCACAGGCTTATTTCCCAGCATCTTCAGTGGCTGGTGTAGAAAAACAGTGCTTTGAAGGGATATCTGATTAGTTTCAAGAGAGTACAGTAATATTTTTGTCCAATTTTCTGGCTGTTTATATGAAGAAGTTGTGTCTTTCCTGGAAAGGTCTAATGTCTATGATACAGGATTTTCTGTAAAAATGATCACAAATTTGAATGAGGAAAGAGAAGGACTAAAATTGCACCTCTCGTGTTCCATTTATAGAAAGCACGCTGATGATAATGGTACACTCCAAAAAACACATGGGAGAAAATCACCATGAAATCAGCAGAATTGCTTCTAGGGCATATACATTTCCAAATTTTCACACAGCTGACAGTGACCTGAACTGCTGTTGCATACTCGGGACTTGGTGTCTGGTTCTTGTCACCATTGCTGTCACTGGGTATCTGGGGCACTGGTAGCAAAGGATCCTTCTAGGAAATGGGTGAGAGTGAGAAAAAAGTGTTGTAGTTCTCTAGATGTTCATTTAAGAAACACTTTCTCATGGAGCTTTCCTGGTTTTCTGTTTTTGGAAAGGATTTCTAATATCCCTTCTTTTCAAGTTTACTTCTGAACTTTATCCAAAGATTTGGTAAAGGGGTTTGCACATCATGTCCACCTCAGCCTGCACTAACCAGATCTTGGGCTATGTTAGAAGAAGAATTCTTAGGAACAGCACCTCCCAGAGGTGGTCTGCCTGCAGGAACAGTGCAGGTGAAAAGTTCTTGGTAAATAAGATACTGAACCATGTCTTGTGTTGTTCCCACTGTAAGCAGGAAAGAATTCATGGCAAAGAGAGTGACCCATGGCATTAAAGTAACTTGTCACTGTTGTAACCGCACTGTTCTTTGTTGACTTCTCAAGTTCTTGAACAATGTTGTTTAGGTTACTGTGAAATGAACTGTATGGCTTATTTGCGGTATTTTTAATACATAATAAACATTTGGAATATTCTTTGCACCTTTTTTTGATTGTTGCTTAGTGTTGTGTTTCCCAGGATGCTTCCAGTGGGGTACAGGAAGGGGAAGTACCAGATGTGATGCAGCCCTGTACTTGTTCTCAGCTGTCGTAAGGGAACGTGGAGGCATTCCTACCTGTTGTGGTTACAGACCAACTCCAGGATTTGAGTCAGATCAATGCAGTGGTGTTGATGAGGCTTAGAAGCCCAAGGTGATAGTTATGAGGTGTGAAATACGTGTTTTATAGAATCATAGAATAACAGAACAGTTAAGGTTGGAAGGGACCTTAAAGATTATCAGGTTCCAGCCTCCCTGCTATGAGGACACCTCACACTAGACCAGGCTGCACAAAGCTCCATCCAACCTGGCCTTAAACACCTCCAGGGAGGACGCATCAACAACCTCCCAGGGCAACCTATTCCAGCACCTTACTACCTTCATGGTGAAGAATTTCTTCCTGATGTCTAACCTAAATCTATCCCCTTTCAGTTTAAAACTGTTACCCCTTGTCCTATCACTGCTCTCTGGTGAAAACGCCCTCCCCAGCTTTCCTGTAGGCACTTCAGCTACTGGAAGGCCACTATAAGGTCTCCCGAGCCTTCTCTTCTCCAGGCTGAACAGCCCCAACTCTCTCAACCTGTCTTCATAGCAGAGGTGCTCCAGCCCTGTGATCATGTTCCTGCAATGCGACCTTACGCACTGAATCCTGTGCCAGACACTGCCAGCAATGCCTTGGTAAGATCTTCTCAATGCCCACAGCATGTAGAACAGAAATAATGTACAGAAAGGACCTACGTATTTCTGGAGTGGCTGCTGCTTTTGTGTGGGTTTGAAAGCTGGACTGCAAGGCTCATAAGCTGATACCATCTTCAAAATGGGTGTCAGGCTTTCGGAAGTTTGGGAAAGGGTGATTTCAGGAGTGTGGGCATCATCAGGTCCTGGCAATTCCTGGTGCTAAATTCATAGCAGTAGGTAACGCCTGTTATTAGGCTACCCATGTTCAACAAGGCAGGGGAGCACACAAACCCTTCCATCTAAGAGATTCGATATAACCTGTTGACAGCAACCTGGCTGTGAGCATGCGGTGGCTCTAGAGGGTAGTAGCCACGTGATGAGAGAACTTCAAGAGGCTGTCATTTAAGTGGAGTCGCTTAATTTTTATGACATGCTATTGAAATTATTTATTTCACTAAATAAGAATAACAATTTTCTGTAAATAGTAATGTGGCTGGAGGCAGGCACAGTGGTAAAGATCCCTTGGTGGGCTGGTAATTCAGCTTTTACATTTGGCTTAACAGTTTCATTGAACACAAGCACTTCCTAATTCCCTCATAAATGCTTACAGAGCACATCCAGTCCTGGTGCTGCTGCTTTTTACAGTCCCAGTGCTGTTCTTGCACTTTGCAATAAAGCAGTGGAGAACATCTCATCAAGACAGTCTACGTTGCCAATGTTTTTTTACATTATTAGTGTGTGATCAATAGGACACTGTTACAGTAACAAATTTCAACTGAAACTGTCCACCTGGTTGATGAGGTATTGATTGAGCCAGTTCATTGACATTTGTCTTCATTTTCAGCTCTCATCTTATAAATGGAGAAACCATTATGCTGAAGCACTGCAGACCTGATCCCTCTTGCAAGGGTTTGCCTAAATAGTTACACTGGCAACAGTGAAGGAGGTAAATCTTGTGCTGTTGCAGGAATTTCTCCCAGTAGGGTTTCAGCCACTGCTGCAAGTGAAATAATTTATAACAGCAAGCACAGTTGCTGGGGGCCTAAATGTGTCTGTTTTACTAAAACATGGATTACTGATTTAATCTTTTTGCCATATAATTTGACATAACTCAGCTGGTGGTGTAAACAAAGCTGCAGAGTTAAATGACTCCAGGAAGAAAGGCTTTCTGAGATGCACCAAGACCAGAATAGCCCAAAAACATGCAACGTGGGCCCTCCATTCTACTCAGCAGTGCCAAGGGACAGTCTCTGCAGTGTGGGACACTTGAAGAGAGGTGTGGCTGGGCTGAAGAGGCTTGGAAGGAGGAATGTGGAGCTGATCAGATGTTATGTGAAAAAGAGATTGAACAATTGGGCCTGTTTAGACTTAAAACAGAGGGAGGGTTAAAGGGAAAAATGAGATGGAAGAAACAAAACAGTCCTCAGGGAGGGACTTTTTACAAGGACATGTAGTGATGTGATAAGGGGTAATGGCTTTAAACTGGAAGAGGGTAGGATTTAGGTTAGAAATCAGTCAGAAATTCTTCACTATGATGGGTGGTGAGACACTGGAACAGGTTGCCCAGGGAAGCTGTGGCTGCCCCGTCCCTGGCAGCGTTCCAGGCCAGGCTGGATGGGGCTCGGAGCAAGGTGGTCCAGCGGGAGGTGCCCCTGCCCGTGCGGGGGGTGGGGCTGGGTGATGTTTCGGGTCCCTCCCAGCCCAAACCATTCCGTGAGTCAACTACCCGAAAGGCTGTTCTGTAAAAGGGACGAACCCGTTCAGCTTATCGTGCCTTGCAGGCAGAAGGGCGGCGGGGGAACGGCGGGGATGGCAGCGGGAAGGGGGGCAGCGCCGGCGAGGGAGGGAGCGGCGCTGCGGGCACC